AATAAATAAGCGAAAAAACAAAAAGGTGAGAACAAACAGCAGACAAATATAATTATACCGATAAGCAAGGGAAGTTCCGAAATACCTGCTTGATGGCTTCATCAACTTCTTTCTGTAATTCACTTTGCGACATCTTATCAAATTCTAAATTCAACTGCATACGTTCATGAAGCTTATCAATCACTGCTTTCTGCAATTTAATAAAACAACTTTTGATTTCTAATAAAATCAGTTTATGTAAAAAATCCTGCCCAGCAAATTCCGTTTTTTCAAAGTCAAAAACAATTTCCAAAGTAATTGAAAAAAAAAAAGAAAAGAAAGGGAATTTTCCGGTCCAACAAAGAGCAAGAACATAAACCAAAACTTAAAAATGCTCCCCTATCGTCCAAAACGTTTAAATGCACTGCGCAGAACGCCCACCTGTTTCGCTATAACTTGACTACTCGGAAGACCTCCCTCGCCTGTTTCATAAGCAAATTTTTCTAAATCTTCTAGTTGCTCCTTTAATTGAGACAGTAACGCTAACTGGCGTTCTTTCTGCCTGGAAATGTTTTCTTCAAGTTCTCCAGTTTCCTCAGACAACAGCCTTTGTCGTTTAATTTCACTTAGGTCTGCACAACCTTTGAAAGCAAATTCTTCAAGTTCTTTCAGCAACCTCTAAAATGTAAAAACAAGTTTTTCCCAAACATAGAAAGCCATTTTGAACGTCCGTTATAGAGTTCTAATGACATCGCCCATATATAACCTCTGAGTTGTTAAAAAGCATTTAAAACAAAGCTATCTTAAACATATTTCAAAATACTTGATAACCTCATCTAAAATTTTTTAAAACGTAAGTTGACACTATACGCATAAAAGTTAGTGAAGAGAATCAAAAATGGTTGTTGAAGATCCTATTATGTCACATTTTCCCGGCAACGCATCCGAAAGTTAGTATTTAGAGTTTGAATTCGCATAACAGCGTGCGAGAAAAAATAGAATAGAGATAAAATTCAGACGAGCTAAAACTAACTTCTTTAAGATCGCCTTCCGCCTGACTTATCTGTTTCAAGCGAAACTGCACTTGCGCAAAATGAGTAGTTAGTGCAATTAATGAGTTGCATAAATGCTCCTGTTCTTCTTCCAACTCTTGAAGACGGTTTCTTTCTCTGTTATGATTAGTTTGAAAAAGTTAGCCACGTGTTACGGTCATTAGTGAATCACAAGCATATTAACAAAATTATATGAAAACCTATTTCAAAGCTTGTAAAGCAAGAGAAATTTACAGTTACTTCTTCATTAATTACTGATAATAGTGACTAAAGAACCGTGAAGGTAGAACTACAATAGTTATTAACAGTATTAGTACCGTGCTCAAATAAAAAAAGCAAAATTATAAATGTTATAAGATTTTATCGTCTTCTACTTGTTTATAATGACTTTGCCGAACAAAAACTTCCAATGAAAAGAAAAGGTTATTTAGGAACCGATTTCACTCACTTAACCGATGAGCAGCTGAAAGTGTCCGGCTCTTGGTCGAGAAGAGTGGTTTGAACCCCGCCATTCAAATCGTCTGAAAGAAAATAGAAAGCGATCATCTGTAGCACCGCATTTCATCAAAATAAAGAGCAAGAAAAGCTTGAATTAGAAGTAATAAAATCCAGATCCAATAGCTGCTGTTGAAAAAATTGAAATAATGAAGCTTACTGTACATCTTCTGGAAAAATTTTGAAAAATTATGTAGCACAAAGAAAACTCCAATGTAAGCAAAAGAAAAAATAAATAAATAAAATAATGCCCTGAGAAAACTTCTTTTCATTATGTTGCAATGGAAACAAAAAATCTTTCTATAACGGTTAATCAGGTCCTTAGAAAGAAAAAGCATCCTGGGTTTCAATAGCTGACGCCGTGAATAAAGCAGATGTCTAGCGATTAAACGTACCGGCAGAAATACCCGAGTCAAATCCTTCAGTAACAGTAAATTCTTGCAGTTTTTCCACTGTACCAATAATACTTTCATCCTCTTCCTGCATCATACTTATACCGGAAAGATATGCATCGGTCACGAAGCAATGTCTTTCGGGGCAAAAATATTAAAAATTAATAATGTCCCTAAAAAGAAGACTAAGAAATTATCACATACGCTTTACTTTGAAACTGCAATCATGTATTTCCCAAAATACGAACAGCGCTGCCAGTTCAGCAGAGGATACATGACAGCTAAACAGGTATCTGTAATAAAAGTATATTTATCTACCTATAGCCAAAGTTTCTTTCCCCATTCACAGTACCTATACAAGTACAGATATTCCAAAAAAAAGTACTTGCTTATGCTACTAAAGAATGAAAGCCAATTACGAAAATAAGTTGTCGCGAAACCGAAAAAAGCAAAAAAAAAAAAAAAAA